ATATATATATATATATATATATATATATATATATATATTTAAAAAAAACGAGATAGTTTTATGAGTTTGACTAATCTCACTCATTGACTACAGAGAGACATGACACTTCTGTGGAAAATATTAATATATTGTTATGCTACTATATAGATCAGCTATATAATCAAATACTTTTTTGTAGCGTGTTAAACATGTTTCAGTTTGAGTAATGGTAATATTTTTGCACTTTTATACACATTAGACAATATATTAAACTTTGAAACAACAATATTTATTATTTTTGAATACTTTAAACAAAAATAGATTAGTCAGACTATTTGGAGGAAACAGAAGGCATAATCTGGAGTGATTCTTGAGACAATTTAGATAGGAGCTACTTTCTAGAGGAGTAGCTGGGTTATAGGAACTGGTAACAGATACTGAGTATCCTCGGTTCTAGCCACTGTGGAAAGCTGAAGGGGTAAGGAATAAGATGGTATTATTAGAGGCACATATGGGCTGGAGCTATGGAAGGGTGGTGGCAAGAAAGGGCTGTATTCTTATAGTAATTCAGCCACTGCCAGAAAAAAATCACAATGACAAGTTACAGAGCAAATGGGGCAATCATGGCCCTACCTATATTAAAAAATAAAAATATTCCATTCAATTGTGTCTCTCATTGCCCTCTTCCAGTGCCTCTCACTGATGGACAATACCCCAACAGAAGCCAGGGGGCAAGGGAAACCAGGTGGATGCAGTTTCTAGAGGTTAATCCTAGGGCACAAAGAAGGAAAAATGATGGATCTAGGGTTTGGGGGTGGGTGCCAAATAGAAAATAGCACATTAAATGTTTTCAAGCTGTATATACATTATGTCAAAATCCATATTTCCAAAGCATTTAGATTTGGTGTAACTTAGCATTAGCCACATGATGATATCAGTGGGATAATATCCAAACCATGAACCCACAATTATCACAAATATGACTCCACTCATTAAAACTCCATAAATTGAGTACAGTCAAGACATTTTTTTTCATTGTGTTTTAAGGTTTCCTAAGCAGCTTTCTTGGTAGGAAACCATCTATAACAAATTGGGTAAATTAGACCCATTTAGTCAATTAGAACACTGTTCTCATTGACCAAAATGAAAACTGAAGGGAAGATTATCCTTGTCGCATATGAAATAAGTATGAACAGTTTGACTCATTAAAGCCATGATTTTCCTACTCTGTTATAATACAAAATTGTTTCTATTTATAGTTTCTGCTAATCAGCATAAGTTTAAAAGGAAAGGTGGAAAAAAGGGAGAATAAATTAAGTGTACATCATTCTGCAGACTGAAAAACAAAACAAAACAAAGATGACAAAGTGTGAGAGACCACTACTGATCAATTACACCCACACATCTCGTGGTCACAGAATACCTCTTTCTATCATTGTCTCCCTTGGAACAGGTTACTTGATCTTCCCGGATCCTTTATTGCACTGTTATCTATTTCTTCTCCATTATTTTCAATTCCACAATATGTGGTACTATATAATTAGGAAGTTTTTTTGTTTTGTTTGTTTGTTTGTTTTTGCCCATGATGCTATTAATATGTTTAAAGAACATAATAGAACAACAAATTATTGCTGTGGAGATGCTATTGATTCCCTAAGTCTAATTCAAAAACTGAGACAAAGTACTTAATCTGCTCAAAAATACAAATGTAAATTTGGAGATTTCTTCTACTCACAGCAGGCTTTAAAATCAATTATATGCCCGGGTCAGCCGAGTGGCACATGGGTTAAGAGTTGGCTTGGGACGCCTGCTCTAAGCAGCAAGGCCCCGCTTCGGATCCCACATGAGGGCCAGTGACACTAAGATGATGAACAACAGCTCGACCTGGAGCTGGGCTGCCATGAGTTGCCAGTGATGGCATAGGCTGCAGTGGGGCTGGCTGGCAGCTGGTGTGTATTTCCATGAGTTGCTGTGAGTTGCCATGAGTGGCCGTCTAATGGCCGGCCAGCGACTGCCTCACCTAGGGAAAGAGCAATGATAACACCAACATGGGCCAGTGAAGCGACGTCCTCCGCAACTAGACTGAAGAACAAAAGGACAGCAACTTGTCTGTTCCCCTTCCCCAATTCCTCAATAAAATCTTAAAAAAAAATCAATTATAAGCCTAACTATAACAAGACTAACTAAAGTTTTGGTAAATGAAGTAACATGTAACATGATAAAATAAAGGGAACCTCAAAAGAGACTAATCTTAGATGACTGATATTCAAGACCATGCTTTTATGTCCTATCTCATATTCCCTTTGTTTATCTCTATTTCACATTTGTCATGGTTGTTTTAAACACATGGTTCACTGACAATGATCAATGCAGAGAGAAGGCTGTCTTTTAAAAGTACATATACAACAATAACTTAAAGAAGACATCACCTTTTCATTTAAGAAGGAAAAATAAACCATCATATCACTTAAGGTGCAGATAGGTAGTTAGATAAAATTTTCTTAACTCTTCAGGCTTGGTTCAATCATCCTCAGGAAAGATATCCCAGGCCAACTGTAGTGAATCACTAATAAAATCTCTTAAAATAAGCAATTAACAATTAACACTTGTGGTGTTATTAAGCAGGGAGGAGTGTAGCAGGAGGGGGGTTGAATATCACAGTCACTCTTCCATTGTTTAAAGTCTCCTGTGTTCTTCCAGAGGGCATCAAAGGATAGTTGTATAGAACCAAGAGTAAATCCTCCCCAGGGAGCACTGTCTCTGTGAGATGCCAGCTTGGCTGAAGATGAGATGAGTTTCAAGTTGCTGAACACCCCCATACAGCAGTAAAAAGATGTGCTATCGACACGCTCAGCTGCATCTTGTTAAAAGCTTCCTGCGGGTTGGCAGAATGAAATCTTTATTTAAAATATACAAACTATTGTCAGGGGAAAGATGGAACAGAGAACACAGTAAAAGGGCCAAATGCTTTGCTTACCCCACCAGAAGCAGCAGAAATGGAGAAGTGGTCACATTGTCTTTGCAGCAACAACAGAAAAGGTGACTAACACCACCACATCAGCATCTATCTGCTCTTCCCATGGTTTCAAGATGCATTATTTCTTTTATTATTAATTATATGTGTTTCCGAGGGAGGGCAAATATATTATCATGATTAGCAAGAGAGGAAATCATTTCTGCTGCCACTTGGCATTAAGTACAGCAGTGTATGTACTGAGTGAGTGATGACAGGAAACACAGCAGCAGCATTGAGCTCCAGCATCACTCAGACCATTCCGCTCCAACTCACTCTGGGTAGTCAGAGGCTTTGTAACAGAAAGTTCATGTAAAACCATTATTGAACACTGACAGGAAGGAACTGAGACAGGAGAGTGTGTGTTTGTGCAGGGGAAGAAGGAGGGAGGGAGGGACGGAGGAAGAGGAGAGAGAGGGAGAGAGAATGAGTTAGTCATCTTTTTGCCCGGGAGGAGGCAGGTGCTTTGCATTATTACAAAGATAGACAGACACTTGCACACACGCTACACATCTCTTTGGCTTATATCCTATCATTTCCAAGAACAGCTTTAAGTGATAATAACTGTGTGCACGTGAACCTTCTTGGATGAGTGAGCTCAGTGTTGTTAAGGAGGTGGAGCAGGGAGCCAGGCAGGGGATGGGTTCCGAAGGGTCACTCCTGAAGAGCAAAAGGACATGGCAAGTAATGAAGCAGGCATGAAAAGAAAAAGGTGAACGGACCCTGGGGGAAATGTCACCTATATTAAGTTTTATTTTTCTTTGGGAGAAAGTGGCATTTCTGCTATTAGATCATGGACATATAAGGAAAGCGGATGGCTCATGACTTTTTATTTTCTCCCACACAGTGCTTACGGCACCTTTGACCAGAGGGTACTTGGAAGGCTCTGTTGTAGTAATACAAACAGGGTAGTTATTTGGGCTTCTGTTCGTTTGTTTAAAGCACCGACATAGTGACGATGCTCTTGTTGCCATAGCTGTATGTTGTGATCAGACGAAAGTGACGGGTAAAGTGATAGAAGCTTTCTGCTAGATTCCTTCCATCCTTCCCACCACCCTCTTCCCCAGCAACAGCCTTTTTCTGGCTTCGCTCAGGGAGTCTAATTCCCTCGTCCCTTGATTCCCGAGTCAGTGACCCACCACCTCGGAGGCGCCGGCCACTCTGTGCCGGGGTACTAAACGGGCGGGGACTACATCACCCCGCCTGCTCCCCGGTCCTCCGCTCAGCAGCGAGGCAGGATGCCAGTAACTCTTTCACAGGTTCCCCTTCTCAGTCACCACCGTGGCTGAGCCCCACCTGCGTCTAGCCCCGCCAGGCTGCTAAACGCCCCAGCTGAAAACTCCATCCCGCGTCTGAGGTCAAGAACACCCCGCTGCCCAGGAAGCCTCGGGGCTCCCCTCCCCGACTCCTCACCCAAGTGGGCTCTTCATAAGCATGGATTGTGTTGCAAATTAAATCTCCGTCTCCTGCGTTTTTATACCCACCACCCCTACCCCTTACCGCCAGCTTTCCCTCAGAAATAAAATAAAATAATCGAAAGCACGCGAACACCCGCAGCCGCTCGATCGGGATCTCCACACCTGGGCAGGTCCTCCGTGTGGCTTTCGCGGCCGGGAAGAGCCTGCGCCCGACAGGTCCTCGTCTCCCCACTTCACCCTGAACCCCGGGATCCCGCCGAGGTCCCCGGGTCGCGCGGGCCAGCCTGGGGGTCGCCGCCCGGGTTCCCCGCTCCCGCCCCAGGTCGCTGAGCCCGCACGGCCGCTGCCGCCGCCGCCGCCTCCGGGGCGGGCGCTCGGAGCCCCCCGNGCCCTCTGGTGTCCCAAGCGAGTTCTTAACCATCGCGCCACTCGGCCGGCCCATGGGAGATTCCTTCTTTATAAATGCCTTAAATCTTATCATTCACTGTGTTTCCCCAAATCCCTCACCTGGATCTTTTGTTCCCCAGACTCTTTCCACTTCTCCAGTTTCTGCATAACAAAAGTCTGACATCCAGTGGGGGTAAATACCTTAGAAGGCAGGGTAAAAAAAATGAGTTGAGCAAGGAAAGTATAATCTGTGTGCTCTGAGTGCTTATGGTGTCTGTGCATGCATGTGTGTCTGAGAAAAGCAGGTCTAGAGCTAGGAAGAGATTTTGGTGGGGAATGCATTAGTATTAATCAATCTTTTCCTGTTCACACTCATATTCATTATCTATATCCTCATTATATTCATGCTTTTGTAGCTTAGATGAAATACTGATGAAAATTCTGCTTAACACTAAGAATAGTGACAAGAACTTGTGTAGATGACTCCTCACTAGGCACATCGCTTTGTCACCCTTTCCAGATTTCCTGTGAGAAGTCTTTCTTGATGGTTTTGCCTTTTCACTATAGCAGAAATTGTTCAATGCCTCATTTAAAGTTTGTTTCAAAATTTAACATTTTTCATAAAAATTAATGAGTCTGGTGCTTATGAAAAGACACACATTCAAATTTAAATAACAAAACCCTAAAAAATACACACACATAATATTTTTACATTAAAATTATTCTTTAAATTATGATGAGGAAGGAAGTTGCTTGGAAATAGCAAGATTTCTATCACTCATCAGTCATATAAAGTTGAACATTTCACACACACTGTGTTTAATAGTGTAAAATGGGGGAAAAGATGAAGGTGCTGTGCCAAATCATCTCGTGTTTTGATCTTGATAATTACATTGAAAAATTAGTTTTAAAACCTATATGGAATTGTTTTGATTTACTTTAGATATCCTTCCATAAAGAGGAGATACGTTTTCAATTTGCTTATTATTTATAGAACATAGAATGCTAAAGGTAGAGTCCCATATGATGCAATTGTCACATTTCTTACTTTTGCTTCTATTTTAAATATCTACAGTTTTAAATATTGAAAATATACATAAAACCCATGATAAACATAAATGCTACTATAATTTTTTCCTGATACAGTATCATTACACATGAACAAAAGGTCAGAAATAAGTACATGGAAAACATATTATCCTTCAATAAAATGGGGAAATCTTATAAACGTTCCAGAAAGTTGACCTCTTATTATAAAAGAGAGGCAATATACTATAGAAATTCTTCCTATAGCTTTACATTACTTGTGTTCTCCTTGTTGTATGTAAAGGTGGGAAATAAACATGGATAGATAAAAAAAATACAAAAGGGAAAGGTAGCAAATGCAGTAAACTGTGGTAATAGAACAGATTTGTATATAATTTGTCTAGAAAAATTATACATTTATTTTACTTTTTGTAATACAGTTATTTCTATGGTATCATTAGGTATTATGTGAAACAAAATAATTTGTACATGAACATAAATGACATGAAAATTATTCAAATAGAAATGTAAAATTAAAAGACCCATTTTAAGAACTGAAACATTAGTTCTCTACAATTTCCCTATTGCACCACCCCCACCTATATTCTCCATTAAGTATAAGAAATTTATCAATTTTGGCTAAATGATTCAGAAGTCCCTGAGCCTAAGAAAATAAGGCACAGGCAGTTGAGAAAAAGTTCTTAATGACAGAGAATACTGGTTGAGCAAAGAGACTTAGGAGCCAGACTGCCTAGGTACAATTCTCAGCTCCAATATTTAACTACTTCCTGACCCTGGGTCAGCTAATCAATCTCATTTTTCTGTACCTCAGTTTTCTTAGATATGAAATTTAGACAGTATATTCTTAATGCCCTTTAAAGACTTAGAAAAATAGTATGGCTGCCTAATTTATAAAAGAAAATACAAAATTACTCAGGCTTCAGAAGAAGCAAACATGGAGTTATGTAAGTAGAATCTTGCATTAGATAACTTTTTCTATTAATTTTTAAGCTAAAAAATGCACCAAAAACCCATAGGATCTATTACATATTCTCTCTCAATGTATATTTCACTTTCATGAAAGAACTTGCTCTGATCTGTTTTTTATATGATTTTATTTTATTTTTTGAATGCTGGCTTAACAGAAGTTGATGAATTGCATTCTTTGTATTCATATCCAATTGTTCTATTTCAAAAGTATATGCATGGGGAAGTTATTTGAGTGTTATCACTGGTAACTTAGGTCACCTTTTTACATCCTCATAATTCACTTTTTCTTTTAATAATTGGAAGAATAGATCTATATAGGCTTCATCGCTCATTCAGTTTTTTTAAATTGATGAAAATTACCATGCCTTACAAACCATGGTATGCTCCATCAAACAATAAATATTAGTTTTCAAAACTAGCCTTCAATAATGTATCATTATTATTATGTATTATTATTAGTTTGCAGTCAGATAGCAATCCGAAAAACTTTGAGATATATATATATATATATATATATATATATATATATAT